TACATTAGTTCATTTATGTCAGAATGAATGAAAAGCTTTTTTCATGGATCACACTTGTTCACAATGATGTACTCCCCACAACAAGAACCCTGTGATTGTAAGCCGCCCTGAGTCCCCTCAGGGAAAAGGGCGGCCTATAAATCTTAATAAAATTAAAAAAAATGAAATAGGAAGCAGGAGACTGTGAGTTCAAGTCCTGCCTTAGCCATGAAAGCCAGCTCTTTGTGACTTTGAGCCACCCACTCTCTCTCAGCCCATCTCACCTCACAGGGTTCTTGTTGTGGGGAAAATAGGAGGAGGAAAGCATCTTGAATATGTTCGCTGCCTTGAGTTATTTGTGAAAATAATGAAGGCAAGCTATAAATAAATACTAATTTTCATACATTAGTTCATTTATGTCAGAATGAATGAAAAGCTTTTTTCATGGATCACACTTGTTCACAATGATGTACTCCCCACAAAAAAACCTCATGTCTTGTTCTTCTATTATATCCTTCATTAGAGTATGACATGTCTATATCACCTCTCTGATTACCTACCACCTCTGTAACAATCTTGGTGGTTCCTATGTTCTAATATACATATTAGCGTATTTCTTTTTAATTAAAGCTACACCTATACTTCCTTGCATGAATTCATCAACTGTACAACACAAGATTGAATTCAGACCTGTTCCATTTCCCCCCCTCTTTTAGCATCACAGAGACCCAAAAACTTTTTTTTTTACTCTTTCATGTGATAATTCATGCTCTTTACAATTCACTTTGCTTATGTTCCAAGTTGCAATACAGCGTACTACAAGGCATGAACATCATGGGATTGTCCATAAATATTGAATTCTGATACCCACTGTGACTTTGGTGAATTGAGACCTTCATATAACATGGTTCAGTAAGACAGAGAAGGAATAGAATGCAATAAAAGCCAACTTTAGACACAGCAAAAGTTACTATTTTTGAACTCATCAATAAACTTAACTGATTCTTCTGCTTACTTCAGTAAATATTTTCACCACTGCAATATTTAGTTCTTCTGCTTCTGATCTTGTTTCACCCTTCTTCATGGAGAGAAAATCCTGCTTTGCATTACATTAATCAGAATAAATTTGCCTCTTATGCAAAGTTAAGCCTTTTTTTCCACAGTGCTTAATTTGACTATTAATTAACATGAAAATATCCATAAGGGTGTTAGTTTCTGTGATTGTAATTTTTGAAAACTTTTTTCTCTTTATCAGATTCCAGCCAAGTTAAAAGAAGCTTTAAGGATTGCCAAAGAATGTATAGAGAAGAGGCTAGTAGAAGAACAGAAACTGGTAACTTACAAACTTTATTCTGTGCTCCCATACTTAAAATTTATAATATGCTGTAATAAGAAGCACAGCAAATAATATGAATCTTAGAATCTTAGAATAACAGAGTTGGAAGGGACCTTGGAGGTCTTCTAATCCAACCCCCTGCTTAGGCAGGAAACCCTACACCACTATGCATATATGATTGCCTGTGTTTTCATGGAGAGGCCTGTTCTTGAGGACTTGGCCATTTGATAAAAAGAAACAAAAGTCATTTTAGAAAAAAAAAGTCTCTGACAAGATGGGCAGTATAGAAATGTAATAAACAAACCAATAAATAAATGTACCAAAGGAGATTTAAGGAGACATTAGTGATTTTTGCTTTTATACCTTGTTTCCCTGAAAATAAGACCTTCCTGAATAATAAGCCCAATCGGGATTTTGAGCGCATGCGCTAAAATAAACCCTCCCCCCAAAATATTGCAACACAGTAGCAGCCATAAGGTCACCATTCTCGCCGCCTCTTGCACCTCAAAAATAATAAGACCTCCCCAAAAATAAGGCCAGACACTTATTTTGGGGTTCAAAAGAAAAGAAGACCCTGTCTTACTTTCAGGGAAACACGGTAGTGTAGCACACTTTGTTCTAAGTCCATACTTTTCTTTTTTCACTGAAAGATTCATCAGCACAGAAGATTGACGAGAGCTCAGTCGCATCATGGGTCAGAAGAAGAGAAAAAAAGGAGGAAAATCTTGGCACGGAAAGTAAGCTTCAGCCCAATTTAAAATAAATGCAGCATATTTCCAACCAGTGTTTTTATCAAATATTTAAACAACCATGAACTGCTCTGTCAACTCTTCTTTATGTAATAAAACCTTGTCTGATAGCAACATGGTGTATGAACACAATTTATCAAGCAAACAGAAACTAATGAGTCTTTTCTTTCTGCTGTTTGAAGAAATCTAAACGTTCAGCCTTTGAGAGCGGAGAAGACCAGTCGATAAAATACAGCAACTCAAACAATTCAGGTAACCAAGTGTGGTTTTTCCTGTAATGCATGGCACCGAAGTGATCTATTTTTGTCGCAGGGACACTCTCAGGGGTTTTGCTGTTGTTCAGGTTGTGGACTAGGGAAGCTTTCTTCGTAATGGTAGCTACAATATATAGGAATTCAAGGTGGTTATTCTTTCCTGTTATGAAAATAAAGAGCAGGGATTACTTACAATGCCACCTTCACAAAAGAACATGCTGTGTTTGGTATATGCATGATAAATTATTCAATTTAGATTGTGCCCTTCATTTTTAATGGTTTGAATACTGCTGTGTGTACATGCAAATGTTAATCTCTGTTTATAAAATCTGATTTGGGCAATTTATCTCTTTGAGGCCAAGAGCTAAGCTGCTATAAGCCCGGGTAGAGGAAAAGCAGCTACCATAAACATGTGTTAGTGATCACATTTCCAGTCTCAGCTGAAGTCTTACTTCCTAACGGGCAGGTGGTGACTATATTTTGCTATATTATTGGGGATTCCTTTTGGTCTGTGAAGATAAGAATTGTAAGCATGGATAAGGTACTATCTACACACTTTGTGCAGGAGATCAAACCCAACCAATGCCGGACTTGCTCAAATGCGATGGTGAGGTGGCATCAGTTGAGGGAAAAGCCCTGGATGACGTTACAGAATGGGATGCAATCATTGGTGGGAGTCAAATAATTTAACAACCGGTTCTCTGCCCTAATGATTTCTTCCAACAACCAGTTCACCAAACTGCTCAGAAAGTTAACAACCAGTTCTCCCAAANCCCCTATGACAACCCGCGCAGCCGCATTCTGGACCAACTGGAGCCTCCTGGTGCTTTTCAAGGGCAGCCCCATGTAGAGAGCATTACAGTAGTCCAGGTGAGAAAGGACGAGGGCGTTAGTGACTGTGTACAGGGCATCCCGATCCAGGAAGGGACGCAACTGGTGTACCAGGCAGACCTGGTAGAAGTTTAACCATGTCCTCTGGTTCCTATGATTAATGGGTTGAATGGATATATTGAGAGCTTAACAACTCTCTATAAACATGAAGTACAAAGTAAATCATACATTTCTGGCCTTTTGGGTTCAAAATGAAGAGTTCATTTTTCAATTTAGGAAGAAAAAGAATAGGAAATTTTACCTGAAAGGCAACTAGAAGCAGCAGAATGACAACTATTATCTTCTAACTGAAATGCAGTTTTACAGTCCTATTTATTTTCCAGATTAATCTTCTTGTACACAAGAAACATACAGTTGCAATTCATTTGCTGCACAAAAACCATGTCTTTTCCTCAATATGTAGTTATGGAGAGCTCACTTATTAAAAGAGATGCACAGCCTATAGTCCAAAAGCCATGTAATTTGGAAAGATAAATTTTAATGTATATCTTGGCGTAGTCAGTTTGTGGATATGATTTGCAAGACACAACTCGGATGGGTGTAAGTTTTGTGTTTCAAAATTGTGCACTGTAGTATTATGCGATTAAGAATAATCATAGTTTGCAAAGGGATTTTTTTAAAGTAACTAGGAAAAGCTTTCTAGCTCTGTTTCAATGCTAATCCTAAAATCACCTATTTGTGTGTGAGAGCTCACACAGAGAGACAGAGAAGCTCTTGACTTGGACTTTATATTTATAATTAAAAGCCTTGTTGAACAAACTGTGTAAAATGTTTAAGAGTTCTTTTGTTATAGTTTCTTAAGAACCAACAGAATCTCCTAAACATATATGAATCATCTTATATTATAGTATATAGTTCTGTACTCTAAGGGTCTCCAAACTTGCAACTTTAAGATTTGTGGATTGTAACCCCCAGAATTATCCAGTCAGCATGCTGGGTGAGGAATTCCAAGATTTGGAAGTCCACAAGTCTTAAAAGTTGCCAAGATTGGAGACCCCTGCGCTGTTTCAAATATCTATTTGTTCAACTTATAACTACTGTAATCCATCAGAAACACTGCTCCAAGTAGCTAACAATATATTTTAAGAGATACAATTATAATAATAATAACATAAATTGAATAATTTAAACACATTAAAAGGATACAGTAGACCATAAATATCAAATGCCTACAGGAATAGGAACATTTCCATAGGATTTGCAGTTTTGGTAGGAAAGTGGATTTTGTAAGGTACCTAAAATCAGCTGGAACAGGCAACCTTAATAAATCTAAATAAATTTTAAAAAATCCTAAATATGGAGTAGTCTTCCAGAGTGCCACCTCCTGTTTTTATCAAGCATTCTCCAAGCATCGAACTAGAAAAGGGATGTGTCCCAAATATCTTCAATCTCCATTTTAGAAAGAGTTTGCTGTTGATATGTCCATGTGTATTGATGGTTGTCATTTATACTTTAAAATTTTTTCCCCATGCTCAGCATCACTCATCCAATGTGATATTTTTAAATCATTCTACCAGTCTATTTTGTTTTCATTCTTGTAGACGTTAGAAGCTATAGATATACACTGCTTTGGACATTTGCTATATGAAATGACATACGGGAGACCTCCAGATTCTATTCCAGTGGATAGCTTCCCTCCTGCACCATCCATGTCTATAGGTCAGTGAATAACTTGGATCAATGCTTGTCTTATTTTAAAGTGAAACTTGAATGATTCATGTAATTTTAATCCATATGTTAAGACTAACATATAAGGCAAAGACACGTGAGAGGATAGAATCATCTCCTGACAGAATAACCAAGGGGATTGTTGTGGTCTACTGGCAGCTTGCAGAGCTGGCAGGAGAGTTGGTCAGTGAGGAGGTTATGGAGGAACATGGGCCAGTCTTGGAGTCTGGGGAAGGCTCAGACGAGGGCTCTGCGTCGGAGGCAGACGGGGGGCCAGGGCCATCTGGTAATTACATGCTGCCTCCGGAGCCTGACATCAGTGAGGCAGAAGAACAGTGTGAGCCTGTTCCCAGTGTGTCCATGCGCAGAGCTGCCAGGAGGCAAGAACAGTTAAGACCAAAAGGGCAACTCGGGAGTAAGGCTTGGAGATGATTGGCCCCTCCCATAAGACATAAAAGAGAAGCAAATGGATGTGAGCCTTTGCAGGAAGCAATAAGTTCATTTAGTCAGTCCAAGCTCTGAGAAGTCCTGTTTGAT